TACTAGATTTTAATGGTTGTGTTTTCCCTTGTTTTCCTCCCCAAAATCTAGGTGTGTCTTATACTTCGGAGCATCTTATACTCCGAAAAATACGGGTAAGTTACTTTTTTCAGTGTTGTTGTGACTTTGAACAATCATTAAGGAATGTTTGTAAGTTATGGACTACCTGTACAATGTATTGGCCATGAGTTACAGGCAATAATATTGCAATCTCTAACTTTAAAATAAATAGTCATAAATCAGTTTCTGCATTACTGGGGCCAAAACATTCCCAGAAAATGTTAGGAGCTTGAAGTATATTTACTTAACAGACTTTTATATAGTCCGACTGGTTTCTTTTACAGTTGTGGAATATGTGCACTTCCAAGTAGCAGTTCTACACAAACACGTAGCATAGTCTCTTTGACAGTGAAACACTGGAAAATTGCACAGATAAGGCAAAGAGAAAACAGAAAAGACATAAGGGCTAGCTGCCTCTTACAGCTTTAGAAAAAGAAGTTTTTATTGCTTAATAAGTACAACTGTGAGCTGGAATTTTAAAACACTCTGCTTAAAATTGGACACTGCTGCTATGAGGTAAGACAAAATTATGCTCTCAGGTAGGACATTCAATCCTTGGGACTTCGGTAAGCATCACTATTCCTACCTTCAGAAGCACTATGCATTAAAAACTGCATTCCTATTAGCAACTAAGGAGCTGAAATATACAAAATGTTATGTTAAGTATCCTTCCATCACGGATAAACAGGTAAGAGAGACTACCTAATCATGTACAGTATATACAGAGACTTACCTGGAAAAAAAACTTTGAAGACCACTTACTTTAGAATTTACATAAAATAATTATACTTATTTACACAAAAGAATTACACCTTTTACCTTGCAATGTTGGCATTACATGAACAATCCTTAATCCTCTTTTAGAAGTACACTTCCTCTAACCCCACAGGAAGGGAACAATCTCACCAAGCAAACCCATGAAGCAGCCGTCAAAGTTTTATTAATTTGTTATTAAATTTATATGGCCACACATGTTCACTTACATGTGATTCGGAGAGGCACACCCAGTTAAAACACAACCATTAAAATCTAGTAAATATATTAAAAACAATTAAAAGCAATATTTAAAGATTAAAATTTAAAGACAACATTAAAACATTTTAAAATTAATTTTTTTAAAGATAAAATTTTAAAAATTCAGAGTTTTCCACAGTAGATCCTATTGCACACTTTCCTTTTGTTAATTATGTCAACATAGTTTGGTTTTCACTATTCTTCTGCCAGTAATCAAATTAATAATAATCAGATTAAACTTCACTCCTCCACCAAATAGGTAATTTTTTCCCTGAAAGTCAAAGTTAGCAGTAGCAAACAACAATTGCATCACTGTTCAATGCTGGACCAAAATTTAAATCCTTCCTAGTACCTATCTCTTCCTGTCTATAACCATGTTGCTTCTATCTTTACAATTTATATCGTTTTATTTGTTTCCTAGTATGATTTGATTGCTTATTAGTAACCTATGACTATTACTAAGTGTTGTATCTTATGATTCTTGATGAATGTATTCTATTTTATTTTTCTTTATGTATACTGAGACCATATGCACCAAAGACAAATTCCTTGTGTGTCCAATCACACTTGGCCAATAAAGAATTACATTGTATCTGACCTGGTTACCTGAGAGACCGCCTCCTGCCAGTCACCTCCCAAAGACCTATTAGGTCCCACAGACTAGGCCTCCTCCGGATTCCATCTGCCGGCCAATGTCGGCTGGTGACCCCCCTGGGGGAGGGCCTTCTCTATAGCTGCTCTGGCCCTATGGAATGATCTCCCCGTTGAGATCCGGACCCTTACTACCCTTCCGGCCTTCCGCAAAGCAACTAAGACCTGGTTGTTCCGGCAGGCTTGGGGCTGTTGAATTATCCAGCCCCATCCTATGTTATGACTGTTGCTGAATTTTTAATTGTTGTTTTTATTTTTGTACCCCCATTCCCTTCTTATTGTTAGCCGCCCTGAGTCTTCCAGGAATAGGGCGGCATACAAGCTAAATTAAACTCTAAACTCTAAATTGCATTGCATTGCAATTACAATTGCAATTCTATTCTAAATGGTACAAAATAGTCTTCTTCAATCTGGATGCCCCCTCCCCCATGTGTGGAATTACTGCCATAATTCTCAACGATCTACAATAGTTTCAAAAGTACAAGGGAGATTGCACTAGATGCCTCAGAAAGCAGAACTACTCAAATGGCAGAGTTCTTTCTCCCACGAGGAACAAAATTCCTACATAATTAGAATATAAACTCCAGCAACCATCCAAGTTTTCTCTTGTATTAATAACCAAGGGGGGAAATTTGTACTCCAACCGGAGAATATGTGTCGATTTATGAGCCTTTCGCACTCAACATGTGACTCACTTGAGATGGTATACTTACTTCCAGTAATTGTGTGGCAGTTGGCCGGGTCTCTGGGTTTTTGTCAAGTGCAGTCTTCAGAAAATCTCTGAATGCTGGAGACCTTTATGAACAAACACACACAATTAAAAAGGTCAGGAGAAAGAAAACCAGGACATCCTATCCTAGATATACACTGCACGGTTTACAAATTGAAGTTGGTGCTTTTCAAGTGGGAAAAAACACAAAGCAGCACAAATTTGCATATATTTAATACTCAATATTAGTAAAAAAATAATAATAATTGCAGATCTACCACTGTGTTGCAACCCAGAGAGCTGTTCAGAAGCAAGTTACATGCTGTCATTCTGTTCCCAATTCATGCCAAAGACCAAATGTTAGCAAGCTCACTCAGGGACAAATGTCTGCCTGAGTTTAAACTAATACAAAGCCTTCTGTCAGATAACTGATTGCACCCTCCTCCTGCACCCCTTTTTCTGTGCCGGCTGCCATGCAAGAGTAGATAAAAATACTTGCTGCCAGTTTCTACATATAATCACGGCAATGTTTCACATATGGCTACCTCTGTCTAGTGATTTTCTAGCCAGAAAAATTATACCGTCCTGTTCCTATGAAAGAGATTCAGAGAGTCTTGCTGTTTTCTATTCCTCTTGTAATAGGAAGCCTAATTAGGTATACTTTCTAATAAACATTTCGTGTCCTGGGAGAGGCCAAAAGAAGCTTCAGAAACGAAAAATACAAAGTTAGGATATTTGCTGGGGACAGTGCTGTGCATTAAAAATATCATCATAAATCACATTTCAAATTTTCAAAGAAACAGAGAAAGCTACATTGCATCAGTCAAGCTACACATAGACCTTAGTTAAGAGCAGCAATCGGGATTGGATTTGCTGTTGCTAAGCAATGGGATCATAAAGTGTGATGTCACACAATGATGCTGTTTAGTGACAACAATTTCTGCACTCCAGTTCTTCATTAAGTGGGGGCACCGCACAATTACCATTTTTGACCATCTGGTGGTTTCCCCATTGACATTCCTTTTGGAAGCCACCAATGAAGGTTGTAAATAACAACCACATGACCACAAACTGCTGCTAGCCATAACTGTGAAGTTGCACCAAGTACTCAGATAGTAATCTTGTGACTATAAGGATGCTGCAATGGCCAGAACTGTGAGGACCAGCCATAAGTGCTACTTGTTCAGCACAATCAGAGGTTTGAACAGTTGCTGAACAGGGGTTGTTAAGCAAGGACACCTGCATTCATCTTAGAATGGAGGGAATCTTTCCTTATTATCATACCCATTTTAAATGGGGAAGCCAGAGAGAGAACCTGGGATCTTCTTCTTACAATGAATGTAAGCTAAGCTATTATCTTTGTTCGTATCTTGGATGCTGCAGAAAAATGTGGTATTATATAATCCTAAAGGAGGAAAGGCTGTATTTTAAGAGTTTAGAAAATGAAATATTCTGGAAAACAGCACACTGAAATGCATGTAAATAAGAAATGGAAAATAATGACTGATAAACTAAGGGCAATGATAGTGGCAGTTGTAGTCCAAAACATTCAGAGAGCATCAGTTAGAGAAAGGCTGCTCTAAGGAATTCAAGGTATACTTTGGCATGTGTCAACCCTTTGAGGTAGCCCAGAGTCAGGCACCAAAACCATAAATACTAAAACTGCTTTTATTATAGGGTTACAGTAATGGAATCTTGCAACTCTGAACAAAGGAAGATGAAATCAAAGAGAAATTTCTCAAATTCCATTCCTGCTTTGGGTGGAGATTTATCTGACTATTGTCTTGGCTGGAACCCTTCTTCCCTCAAAGTTATTCTCACAGCCCACTCTATCAAGTAACATCTTTACACATACGTTTTAGGAACATACGCTAAGAAGACAAGGCTCTTCGCGCAACATTACTTAGTTTTGAGGGATAAGTGGAGATTTCTGTATAGAATTTAGAACAAATTAGAATTTAGTACTAACAATCACCAACGTAAGTGATATCTCAATATTACCCTTGCTAGATATTGCTGGAATAATACTTTCCAGCAGCTGCAAAACTCATGGTCAATAGTGAAAAGGGCAGAAGTTATAGCTAACCTGGAGATCACCATGGGGAATCTTAATCAAGACGAGGGATGCATAATCCTTTTCTTGGAAACACTTCAAGTGATGCCCCAAGGACTGCACTTGACAAACTGGGAAGAGCAAAATCTAATTAAAATTATTTTAATTGACTTAATTAAATGCAGTTAAGGTGATTGCTCAGCATGTTTTTAATTATTTCCCTTTTCTGTCAGATTAAATATTACAATTTAGTGGCAAGTTATAGAGTGGTCCTGAGGGATCCATTTAATGCATTACAGCTTCGAGTAAGGGCTTGTTGCCTTAGGCGGTGTGTTTCTGAACTAGTCCAAGGTTATTAAAACAATAAGAAAAATATTTCCTTTCCTCTGCTTATTCCTTCTTGAGAACTTTTTTTAATTAAATGGGTCCCCATTGGCAATGACAATATTTTATAGCAGCTGGGAAACCCTAATAATTAACCATGCTGGCTGAGGCTGATGGTAAGGAGGAATTCAGCAACAGGTGGAAAGGTTGCGCTTTTCAAATTCAACTTCTCAGATCTTTTCTACCACGATTATTCCAGAGATGGTATTATATTTTCTTCACTACCAGTTTGCTAGAGGGACAATGCGCAGAAGGTCCTTGATGATGTCAGGGTGAGCGGGCGGAGCCTTGTGCTACCGCCACTACCGATTTATCCGAACTGGTGCAAACCAGCAGCATACCACCTCTGGATTATTCCCTTTGCTACAGATTTATTTTGGCTACTTACACAGTAAGTGATTAATGTAGGAAAATATTTCCTATTAATATAATGGTATGTGGGAAATGACCTTGAAGGAGAGTAGAAGAGATTCTGCTTAAGAAATGATCAGAGAAGAAAGAGAAGGAATCCCCAGTGGCTTAATACTCAGAGGGAGAAATTTAGGAAAGACCTGCCCTAATTGATTGGACAGTTAAAAGTGGGTGATGGGAGATTTATATCTTTGCCCTTACAAGATTCCATGAATGTAGCTTTACAATAATGTACAATTTGCTCATCCAGTCTTATTTCCTGTTTTGTTTACCTGGGAATACTGACAATTATTGTTGGTAAAGGTGGGAGGGACACTTGTAGGTGTTCCTGATTGTTAATGAACAAGAAAAAACTTCTCACCACTTTGATGGATAATTAAGAGTCGGAGGATCAGATTTGGCTATTTTCAGTAAGACCCTCATAGGGTTCAGCTCGTGATGAGGTGGCTCTATTTGTGCCATTTCTATGAGTGTTATCCCCAAGGACCAGATGTCAGCCTTGTAATCATAAGGGGTATCTTTCATGGTCTCACACATCACTACTTCAGGAGCCATCCTAAAAAAAACCAAAGCAATAAGAGTTAAATTCTACTACAAATTCATTTTCGCTGAAAGTGGTTCTAAGAATCAGATCTTGTTTTCAAGCTAAATTATATATATATTCAATTAGTCTAGGCTTTGAACTGACCATAAGCCTTAAAAGTATAACTTTGCAATTAAACTATGAATGAAACCTGAAAATTCATCCCTTCTGTGTTCAGAATGAACTAGCCAGCATTATAAAATTCCTTAACTTTAATTGTCTTTGGTAATACCATTGAATATAACATAGAAATACATCCTCTACTGAAATTAATAGATAACAAAAATGGTTAACCTCTTTAGGCCATGTCTAGCCACATATACACTCCTGGTCATTCATCTCTCCATTCTCAATTGGCCACAGAAGGCAAGCCATCGGCTAATGACATTGGCCTGAATACTGTTAGAAATGGCAAATTAAATGCATACTGATTGCGTCCCCTTGATGATGATGTAGCTGAGTTAGTGATTAAATTCTTGGAGTGAATAGTTGTTTTTATATCCTTGGAACTGCTTCAAAAGGACATTCCACCAAATTGGGGGTGGGGGTAGGGTCAGAAGAAGACAGAACAGCCCAAATTCCATCAATATCTCATTCCAGATACAGGCTGTACTTTCTTTACTGCCCTAAGAGAGGCAGCGATTCAAATGACAGAATATTGTTGCAGCTGACAGCTTTTATTCCTTCCATATTTTTCCTTCCACCTCCAAGGACAAAATCCTTGAAACATACAAAATCATTTAAAAAAACAAGTATTAAATGCAGCACTGCCTTCTATGTTGATGCACTCTTTTCATATTTTACATTCATTTAAAATACATACATTACACTAATCAAGATCAAGATATCGGTCACACAACACAGATATATCTGCACACTCAGGGCATACTTTAAAATACAACCCCATAATAAGCAATAACACCATATGTTGATTAGGACACAACATTTTCCTTCCCAATGAAATTTGGCAGCAACTTCTTTAAAGGTCAGGCTACTGAAATAATCCTCTTACCAGTATGGGGTGCCAATGAAAGAATCCCTCTTCTGCACAGTCTTCATGTTTTTGGCTGATACTCCAAAATCGGCTGAAAAGAGTTGAAATCACATTCAAATCTTTAATGAATGTTTTGGATTGCAGTTAAAAGGGCAACCTTTAATTATATAACTCCTTGGTTTATTTTTCAAAGCAAGCACACAGAGGACTAATAGAAACTTTAACCTGGATGGACACCAAGGATTCTCTGCATCTTATTGTGCTACAATTTCCATATTTGGAAATTGACTCTACCCATGTCTAGCCTATACCAATGATCGGAAACATGTTCAAAATATAAAAACAATGATACTGTCAAATGATGGAATCTATACCCACAAAGCATATTATTGCTAAATATTTTTCTCTTAAGGCAGACTATTTCAACGTGGCGGGTATTTAAGAAAGATGTGAAAAATAACTCAAGATTCTTAACTTGCTTTTTTTAGATAACCCTAATTATAGGGGTGGTAAAGAAAACACTTCTAAATCTCTCATCAAGTTAGAGCAAAATTTTGCTTTACTATAACGTAAAAATTCACTGTCAGGAACTTTACACCCCCTTGCTAACAAACAGTTCATGGCTTTGCTATTTAAATTCAATTTCCTACAGTAATTTACAGTTCCATTTTACATAAGTATTATTTCCACCTCTTCCCAGAAATTTCCACTAGAAAGATGATACAAAGCAAGACATGTGAGCCTTCTCATCTTTCCACATCAACAAATAAAATTCTCCACTCATATAGAAATGATGCCAATTCTCATGAAACTCAAAAAGAATAGCAAGCATTGATTTATAAACAAGCCCTCACAGAACAATAAGAAAAATGCTGAATTCATAAGTAGCTTTCAGTGTCTCCTTACATTCCTACACCTACTACTGCTGCTTTTATTAATCTTTTAATGACCCTAATTTCTTTATCAACTTGTATGCAGGACTTTTTATTGTCCAATTTTGGATTTTGTAACTGCTGTTCCAGACAATTCACATGCCGTGAAATTATGTTCTTGGCAGAACTGGAGCTCTCATAATTCTATCCTGAATAGACAAAGATGGGACAAAGATGAAGATGAATATATGGTGACGATGTGAAGACAGGTGGAGAAGGAAGATCACAATGAAAAATAATGAAAGAGCACCATGCGTAATGCAAAATTTAAACTTCTGTTCTGCTCCTGAAAAGACAAATCCTGATTTATTGAGGGATATGATTATAGCAATGTCTTCTAAATACCAGCCCAATATTAACTTGCTCGGCAAACAGGTTTTTCATTTAGAGTTAATAGCAATAGCAATAGACTTATATACCGCTTCATAGGCCTTTCAGGCCTCTCTAAGCGGTTTACAGAGAGTCAGCATATTGCCCCCAACAATCTGGGTCCTCATTTTACCCACCTCGGAAGGATGGAAGGCTGAGTCAACCCTGAGCCGGTGAGATTTGAACCGCTGACCTGCTGATCTAGCAGTAGCCTGCAGTGCTGCATTTAACCACTGCGCCACCTTGGCTCTTGGTGTTAATCGATTATCAAAAGCTCCTTATAAAGGAGAATCTTTGAAATGAGTTCTAAACAAAAGCATCCAATCTCAAGGAACCATTTCTAGACAATTAAGAGTTGGGATAGTGAGTAAAAATCCTAAGAGTCTAACAAGAACATTAGAACAACAGCTATCCTTATGTGGCAGTATGGAAAAGGTTGGCCTTTTGGACAAAGAGATACTGTCTAAGCCAGTAATAGAAGAAAATTCTTTGGTGGTTGTGTCTTTCTCACTGTAGGCAATGTTACATTCCACAAAGTTCACAAAATGACAAAGTTTCCCCCCGCCCAACACACACACACACACACACACACACACACCATTTTCTGGAAGGAGATGGAGGGGAGATATCAGCAGCAAGCACTAAAGTTCTGAAGATGAAACTAAGCACTCGGCAAATATGATTATGTCTCTTTCCCATACAAAGCGTAAAAATGATAATTTTCTTTAAAAAAAAAGTTTATCAATTTATACCAGCTTACACTTACATCTCTGCTGACTCTCTCTATACTATTTATGAACATGCTTAAAAGCATTAGATTCAATACAATCCATACAAGTTTCTGTTCAGAAATCACCATTCAATTGTGAGAATGGTCCATTTATTCTTGTGCCATGATTTGTGTTCTTAAATAAAGTCTCTATTCTTGTTCCCTCAGACATCATCAAATGTAGACACTGATCTTAAAACTCTGCCTTTCTTCCTTTCCTTTCACATGAGTTCTTTTTTAAAAAGTTGTATATGGATACCATCTGGTGCCAGAGAACAGTTCCATGTTCATTTTGCTCATGAAGTCTAAACTCACTGTAAATTTCATTTACATTATCTGTGTTATATGGATTATAAAAAGCTGTAAATCCCCGAGAGGCAACTAATCTATACTCTTAAGTCTGAAGTAGGAACAAGAATTTTATTCGCATTGTTTCATGGGGCCTCTCTCTGGCAGCTTTTGGCCCCATGACTGAATATATTTAGTCTTCTTTGTTCGGAGAAATACATTTCCAGTTAAAATAGTTTCGCATTTTGTCATGGTTAATAACATGACAAAAGCCCACCAAGGATGCAATCCAATGCATGCTTTTTCAGGAGGGGGCTCTATTAAATAGTGGAACTACTTTCTAAATACAAGATTGTACATTAAGAACTTATTGAAAGGAAATTCAGATATCAATAATAAAAGCTGCTGGATTACATTCAGCAAATTCTTCTTTTCCAATCCAAAAAGTTTTGATCAGTGAAAAAGGCTGGAGGAAGACCAAGCTAACAAAAGACTATTATTTAACAACTAAATGTGCCTAGTTGTCTGATTGCTATTTTCACAACAAAATAGTCCCAACTGTTTAAAAAAGGCCCTTCCCTACTTTTCATAACTTGCTGAATACAAGAACCAATCTTTTGGCATAACAACTATTTCTCACTGAAGAGCTACTCACCAAGTTTAATATCTCCATCCAGGGTTAGTAACACATTGCCTGCCTTCAAGTCTCGATGGATAATCTTCTTGCCATGTAGATAGTTCAGGGCCTCCAGCATCTGGCGACAAATCACCTGGATCTGGCATTCAGTCAGGCCTCGATCCAGCTCTATAAAACAGTTGGAAAGACTCTTTCAGTGTTCTGAAATTCAATTAGCAATAACATGCACACGATTGAGAGTGACAACCAATTGAAGCTTAACTAGTTGAGTATTAAATTACAAATGATAAAGACCAACATATTCAATATAGGTTGAGCCCCAAAGAATTGAGGCCTTTGAAGTATGGTGCTGGAGAAGACTCCTGCAAATCCCTTGGACTACAAGGCGATCAAACCAGTCAGTCCTAGAGGAGATCAACCCTGACTGCTCTTTAGAAGATAAAGATCCTAAAGATGAAACTCAAATACTTTGTCCTTCTAATGAGAAGGAAGGACTCACTGGAGAAGAGCCCAATGCTGGGAAAGATTGAGGGCAAAAGAAGAAGGAGACAACAGAGAATGAGGTGACAGGATGGAATGACCAAAGCAGTAGGCGTGAGCTTAAATGGAGCTTAAATTCCAGAGGATGGTAGAGGACAAGAAGGCCTGGAGGAACGTTGTCCTTGGGATTCTGATGGGTTGGACACAACTTCGCAACTAAAAACATGACTTAGGACCACAATTGAGCCCAAAATTTCTGTTGCTAGGTGAGAAATTTGTTAAGTGAGTTTTGCCCCATTTTATGACTTTCCTTGCCACAGTTGTTAGGTGAATCCCTGCATTTGTTAAGTTAGCAACATGGTTAAGTGAAGCTGGTTTTTCCAATGACTTTGCTTGTCAGAGGTTCACAAGAGGCTGTCACATGACCTAGGACACTGTAACCATCATGAACATGAGTCAGTTGCCAAGTATCTGAATATTGATCATGTGACCAGGGGAAGGCTGCAAAAGTCATAAGTATGAAAAAGGGTCGTAAGTCACTTTTTTCAGTGCTGTTACAACTTCAAACAGTCACTAAACAAACTGTTGTAAGTCGGGGACTATCTGTAAATGTTTTGGGGACCATGGCCAGTTTCCTCTTAAATATAGCTAACTCATGTTAATATGTAAAATCTATCACCCATACTAAATAAAGCTTTAAAAAAAATTCAATTTCATTTTCAGAATCTGGAGTTTACAATATTCAGGCCTAAAGTAAATTAGTGCAAAATCAGGTTTAAAGTGTAAAAATTCAAATACTATTATTACTGAAAAAATTAAGATATTGTATAAAAGTGTGCACTGCCTTTTTCATTTGTCGCACATATTAACAGCTCCCCCCCCCCCCCGTTTTTCCTCACTGGAGGGATGCTGAATCCAGCCCAATGATTAAATCCTGGCTGAGGCTATCGTGAGGCAATTCAAAAGGGTATATGGCGCCATATAGCAAGAATATTTTTTTTAAATCTCTTGTTTTACCTCAGGTAAAAACAAGAGATAAAAAACCTCACACCTCATCACTGGGAGCATAGGCACCAAGACAAATTTCTTATGTGTCCAATCACACTTGGCCAATAAAGAATTCTCTTCTCTTCTCTTCTACTTTATTGTTTTTACTTCAAAGCAAGAAAATGCTGATCTGAATATGGAAGGGACAGCATAGATCTAAAAGATTTTCTGCTTCTCTGGTGAAATTTCTCTTCACTTCTAGCAAAACTTCCATTAGTGTATGGAACAGGGAAATAAGTTGGGAAACAGATGCAGTCTCCCTGATAGTCTGGTAACAAAATAGGTTTACATTTTTAGCGTCATGGAGGAATAGTTTGGAAAATTCATTGGAGGATTATTCTGTATTGTGGTATGTGTTTGCAGGTTGTTTTGTGATTCTTAGCTTGGAGGATAGCCTGCAGTTTTTATTTCTTTATAAAGGCCTATGTGGAATGACAAGGATAACAAACAAATAAGTGCTTAGCCATCCATTAGCATCCAAAAAAAGTTAGACTGTGCAGCTATTTCAAGCTGAAAGAAATCTATTCTGTCAAGGGCCTCCTAAAAGTGATTGTCTACTCAATCCCTTGGTCAAATTCATAACCATAAATCTTTCTGGTCTTCTGAACCACCATAGCAGGAATGGATATAAGAGGTACTAAGCATAAGTCAGTGTTCAGAAAGGCATTCTTTCTACAGGCAACATAAACTTTAGAAGATGGAATTTCCTGCTGACTTGATACGTTTTTTGTAATTGATTTTTAGAGCACTGCGCTTTTTTCAAACATTTGTACCGACTTTATTTCTTTAAAAGATTCATATGGCTGCCCAACTTGCAAACACCAACTCTTTCTTTCTTACATGGGTTAAAAACACAGAAACTTAGAATTGCAAAATAGTCAACAGACAAAGTCATACCACAATACAGAATAATCAAGGCCAACCACATATATGCCAAATTCCAAAAGCTTTGTAGGACAGGCCCATCCAAAACTCTGGCCCACTGCCCAGGTAGGGTGGGGGGAATGGGTCTTTAAGGCTGAAAGCCAACAGGGCTGTTTAGCATACCAAGAGATGCCTGTTCATTGGAGGAAGAGATAAGGATATTTATGTACATAAATACATTATATAATTCTCCAAGGCACAATTATTACAGATGACTAATAATAAAGCCTTGACTCACAGTTATTGTAATAGAAACTAGTTTCCTTATTTTTTTATTACTTTATTTTTGGTAAACCATAATAGATAAGACATTTAAGAACATTCCCTATCTTTTGCATTAAGTAACATGGCCTCATATGAATGTCAAATCGGGCTAATCCAAGAGGGAGCTGTTAAGTAAGACAGCCATTCTTTCAGCAGCAAAACATCTTAAATAAAGGGAGGGAGAAGCTCCCATTTCAGTGCTGGTTTCTTTTTGCCTACTTCCAGTAGAGATATTGGATTCATTTAAAGGGAAGACATGCTTGAAGGGATAGGGGGAATGTTCCCTTTGTCAGCATTATAATTCTTCAAAATGTTTCCAAAGATAGCAACACTTGGCTCTGAGAGTGTTTTTAGGGATTTCAAGTCCTTTCCAAAGCTGAAGTTGTCTACAAGATTTGCAGTGACCAAAGGATAGGCTCATCCTGAAACTAAAGGGCACAGTTAGGATTCATTGCCCCTGATCAGAATCAGTGTTGTATAACGATTAATTGCATGTTAAAGTTTCCCCCTCTTTCTTTAGATCTGCAACTTCAATGCCAAGTTACCCCCAAGCAGGCAGAACTTCATTACCCCTTGCCTTAAGGGCGGCTGCTGAACGTTTAGTTTTAATTTGAAATATTGCTTGATTCTTTCATTTGGCTTTCCTCTCTAAAAGCAACTTTTCAGTCCTGGAGGTGGTTGGATTGGGGGGGGGGAATAAACCTGTGCAATTAAAATTCAGAAAAAACACAAAACTCTTTTTCTTTCCTATCAGGAAAATTATCACTACAAGTCACTTTGAAAAATCAGCTGTAGCAAATTAAACCTCATAATTAGAAGAAGCTTTAAAAAAAAAAAGATTTGCTCTTATCTTTTTTTACCATTGGCCACCACTACATGATGAAGCTGTAATTCCCAGACTGATCACAAAAATAAAGCACAACATTAATAGGTTTGCCTGATTTGTATTTTAAGAAAATCTGTGAAAATAAGCTTTTTCTATAATGGCATATATCTTCCTACTACTGAATTTCCTGTATACGCTGAATTTCCTGTATGATTATTGTCAGGCTATTATGGGAATGTTTTAAGCCCAAGGTGTAATAAGCTATATGATATGGGATGATCTACTGTATAGATAGAGATTAGTACCTAGTTATTTATAACATACTCCAAAGGTTGACAACATGAAACTTCATTGTACTTACCTAGCATAGTAGCATCTACAGCTCCACCAGGACAAAACTCAATCATAATCTAACGAAAGAGAAAGAGAAAAGAGAGAGAAATAATTTAAATGGGTAGGCAGAAATGATATTTATATGATACACATTTTATTTTATAAAGCATTTGCAAGTGACCAAATCAGATATGTAAAACATACATATATTTGATATTTGTATACACACATAACTATATAACAATTATGTACAAAAATGCTGGAATCACTGAATTAACAACCACAATAACAAATCTCATTCAGTTATTTCTTCTCCAAAATACAGTTGTATTTCAGTAACCTTTTCACAACTGAGCTGGACTCCTTGCAGCTTCTGAAATATTGTAACAAGGTATTAAGATGGTCATTCAAATGCAAGAATAACCAAAGAGATTATCTTTCCTCCTATGAACACAGGAAAAATGTGTTAAAGTCAAGGCAAACCATCTTACGGTTCTTGTAATTTTTAACAAAAATAATAATTTGTTTCAAAGCTTGCTACATTCAAAGCTCATTAGGTTGTCTTTAAGTTAGACTGGAACAATAGTATTGTTACAGTTTGGGGTAGACATGCCCAACAGTTACTCCTTTTAGTTTAGAAATCAAAACCTTCCAATCCCTATGCATTTCAATGTCTTTGTCCAAAATGGCTAAGGCTCACATATTGTCTCTTCATGTGTTTAGAGATTTTGACTGTTGCTTGAAGGATTGTTCCACATATTTGCACTTGACAATAGAATGCAATAGTGGTCATAGAGATGTGGTAACAGCTTGAAAGCCTAGACAATTCACCATATTATTTGGAAGTTTTCTTCTGCTCCGGGTCATTTCAATGATTATCAATTCTCAGCACAGTTTTGCCTTCAAAATGTTTGGAGAGGGAAGGGCTGGAGGAGCTATCAGTTTTTGCTGTTGTTCAGTTTCCACCTTCCACTCCGCTAATAGGATATTTAGATAGAATATTTTGTATCTTTCATTATACCTTTTGAAATATGTTTCTTGATGCCCCCCCCCACTTTAGTCAAAATCAATCAGACTCGCATTTTAATTCCTTGCCATGATTATTTGGAATATGATTTTTTTCAAATTGCAAAAACACTTATTCTGAACCAACGAAATTCCAGCCTTATTTTTATATTAAAGTAATACTGTGATGTTTTTCAACCAGAAATGGGTTGAAAAAGGAATGTCCCATTTGCTCTTACAAGGTGGGCATATTCTAGATCCCTTCCATAAGGCAATGTCATTTAATGGGATATAGGACTTGTGCCTTTTATGTGCCCCTCCTTTGGCAATTTCCCTTCTGCAATGGATTTCAAATGTTCCCAACTCTGTTAGCCTTTCAAAAAGCTTTAAATTCCTATTTCCCACCTCCCCCAGTATTAGGACAGAAAGAAGATGAGATAGAGTGTGATCTGGTTGATCTTGGCTGTGTCATTTGATATATTAGATGTTTGATATCAAATAATTGGATGGAATACCCGTGAAACTTTAAATACTTTAAATGACTGCATATGACATTGTAGGTTCTATTTAATTAACTGTTTGTTTTGCAAGTATATTGAACCAGGTGGGCCAAAATCTGCAACTTGCTAGAGGCCATAATTACCCAGGCAAGACAGAAGAAGACGAGTGACTCTCACCCAGGTACACTCATAAAATAATGCCAACCTTCCGAATTGGGCTGCATCTTTTGGATCAGATTTTAAGGAGTAATGGTCGCTGCGGTTCTTTCAAGCATCCCTTTTGCCACTTAAACATTCTTCAAACCCACAAACCAGGGAAAATGCTTGCTCATTTCTGTGCCATCTCCAAGTGTCCAGCAAGGATGAGACTTCGTAACATTTTATATGTTCTGGGCATGCACAAAAATTCATTCCTTCATTCATTGGGCATACTGGGCATACACACAAATTCATTCCTTCTCTTGGTTGCCAATAATTCCCTACACTTTTTATATCAGGGACAATCCTACAAGTTTTTCTCATTACTCTAGTTTGAGTTACCATCAACCATATTGGAAAGCAGATTCCAGAAAACCCTTTAAGTAGAAAGCATTTATTCTGTCATTCTGGGACTACTGAATAATTGAACCACGGTTTAGTCTGCTACAATTTTTATAGAGATATTTGTAGAGCTGCTAACATGGCTCATTAAGCCATTCCCTAGTTGTTCATATGAACTTTAAGTGAAGCTCCTCTTGGCAGACCAGAGTCCCCAAACAACTCTACTGTTTGCATCTGTAGCTGGAGAACTCATGCTTTGCTAACAGTAAATTAATTTGGGATTGCTCTTACTGGTTATATTAAGTGCTGTTGCATAAGTGCTATGCCATTTTAGTTGTTTATTGTGTTTTATTTTGATATGTTCGATGCATCTGTGACCTGTAATGCTTCAATAAAGCTTCATTCACATTTTATTCCCCTCATACAAGCTTGAAATGTAGTCAATTAATAAAACTAGTCACTGCAGGATCATTCCTCTCTGGCATACTATGGATACATCATAACTTATAATTGCTTAGCTGGATTACTAACCTGTCTAAGTACCAACTGTTTGTCAACTTTTGGCTGATCTCAAAAAGTTAAGGAGTATCCGAATGGCTTACAGAGGAAATCATCAGGAGCTGTAGACTACACTGGAAAATTGAAAAAAAACAAAATAAATGGAAAATGGATAATGGCACCATACAAACTACATTTGTATGGTGCCAAGTAAACTCATACCTGTGTCTGCAAAATTACTAGGAGAGAAGCTTAACAGAGACTTTATCTTAAGTTAAAACACAGGTAGGCTTATAGACCATTTTTATTTACTACTTCCAGATAATCTATTTTCTTACTAGTAGACACTGTAAATGGTAAAGCAAGACATTTATACCACTGAAATATTTAAAACAGGCCAATGAACACTGGCCAATTGAATTAGAAGTCTGTGATTATCTTCACTTAACACAACTACTCCAGTTCCTGCACTGAAATATATATTTTCCGCTATAGATCTTGCTCCTTTCCATTCAAGAATGTTAAAAAGTTTCATTTCTGCTTGAGACACTGACACATGTGAATTTGTTATATATTTTCATGATTAACATGATTTTCCTGGGAAATATATAGTGTAGTAGTCTTCCCTTTGCTTTCTACACAGCTGTGCACACGCTGTTCACATGGCTGCCACCACACTGTGATGATGCAGAAATACGAAGAGGGGTCAGACAGGGTTTTATTCTATCTCCACTGTTGTTTAATATCTACCCTGAGTCAATTTTCAATGAAGCACTGGAAAACATTGATACTGTCCTCAAAGTAAACGGTCTTCAGATCAACAATTTAAGATATGCTGATGATACAGTTCTGCTTGCCAGTAAGCATGAAGACCTTCAGCTCCTCATCAACAGAGTCTCAGAAATATCTGAAAAATATGGCTTGAAGCTTAACACCTCAAAAACCAAGATCATGGTTGTCAGCAAACAACCCATTAATTTACCACTGATAAATTCGGAAGGAATACCACTAGAAAAAGTTGAAAGGATCACATACCTCAGTTTTAATTTACATGAAAACTGGGACATAATAAGTGAAGTAAAGACAAGGATAGAGAAAGCTCAAACAGCATTCTTAAAAATGAAAAAGGTCTTCTGCAGTCACGACATGAGCCTAACACTAAAAGTCAGGCTTGTCAGATGTTACATATTTTTTATCCTGCTCCATGGAGTAGAGACAGAAAACCACTTGAAGAAACTAGAAGCATTTGAAATGTGGATTTACAAATGGCTGTTATGTTTAAGCTGGGTTGACAAAATCAGAAATAGGTGGTGATAAGCAGCCTGGGAAAGCCAAGGGAAATCATCAAAACTATTAAAAAGCTCAAGTTAGAATATTTTGGACATGTGATCCAGAAAAATATGGCATACTTCACTTAATCCTCCAGGGAAAAATTGAAGGCATTGAAAAATTGGAGGTCCAGGCAAAAGAAGAACATCATGACTTCAAAACCTAAGGGACTGGTTTGGACAAAACCCAGCAGCACTTTTTCATGTGGCTGTTGACAAAAATAGGATTGCCAACATGATCACCAATGTCCGATGATGGATATGGCAAAAGAAGAAGAAGAATCTTCATGATGGAGTTCTTCTATCTATCTTATACATCTGACTGCCCAATGTAGCTGCATGGAAGTGGTCATTTTTTATCACTGTTCCCCTCCTTTTGAACAGCAAGAATGCTCCTCCCTCTCAGGGCCTTCCAGAGAATAGTTAAAACTTGTGTTTATGGAAATCCTTTGAAGATAAAATAGGTAAAGGAAGATCTGCACCATTATTGTTTGTTACTGTTTATAATTGTATTTGTTTGACTTCGTACACTCCACAGAGCCTCTGGAATGAGTTGGCTTATGAATCTTATAAATATGTCATCATATACAAATACATGCTATAATTGCTCCTTTGCAATGCAATATTTGGCACTGCTGAAAACAGATATAACTCTAGCTTGGATACAATTTGATGCAAGATTTTTTGCAAGATGATTAACCCCAACTAAAGATGGACCCATATTGTCTGACTTAAGTGATTACACTGTCTTCCTTTACTGTACAAAATAGAAGATCTGGAAAGGAACAAGAAATAAATATATTTAATATAACAAAGTTAGACTGGAAGTTTGAAAAGCTGCCATGAACATGAAGCATGGTGGGGATGATGCAAGACTTCAATTGAAAAATTATATACAGGTGAAACTCAAAAAATTAAAATATAGTGCAAAAGTTCATTTATTTCAGTAATGCAACTTAAAAGGTAAAACTAATAAATGAGATAGACTCATTACATGCAAAGCAAGATAGTTCAAGCCGTGATTTGTCATAATTGTGATGATTATGGCTTACAGCTCATGAAAACCCCAAATCCCCAATTTCAGAAAATTAGAATATTGTGAAAAGGTGCAATATTCTAGGCTCAAAGGGTCCCACTCTAATCAGCTAATTAAGCCATAACACCTGCAAAGGGTTCCTGAGCCTTTAAATGTCTTTCAGTCTGGTT